CTGGGGCGCCCGCCCGGTGGGGGGGGCGGGGTGGGGGGGGGGGGGGATGAGCTGCTCCTGTCCTGGCAGCAGCCCCCTCCCTCCCCCAGCCCTGGACTGCAGCTGGCCCCGCCTCTCAGCTGTTTGTCTTGGGGCCGCAGGAAGCGGGTGAGGTGAGACAGGCCGTGGGGTGGAGCAGGGCAGGGCATCTCTAAAGGTTGTAGGAGCGGTGACTGGAGGGCCAGGGACAGAAGCATCCCTCCTTGGGGGCCATGTGGGGAGAAGGAGAAAAAGGGCCAAGGGAAGCCACCAAGGTGCCGGGAAGCTCCCCGCCTCTCAGCTGTTTGTCTTGGGGCCGCAGGAAGCGGGTGAGGTGAGACAGGCCGTGGGGTGGAGCAGGGCAGGGCATCTCTAAAGGTTGTAGGAGCGGTGACTGGAGGGCCAGGGACAGAAGCATCCCTCCTTGGGGGCCATGTGGGGAGAAGGAGAAAAAGGGCCAAGGGAAGCCACCAAGGTGCCGGGAAGCTGCCAACAGCTCTCCCCCTCCTCCCCACCCCCCGGAGAAAGACCCACTTCAGGCCAGCAGCAGGGATTCTACCCCTGTGGGCGCATGCCGGAGGTCTGGCCCTGCCTAGCCGGCTGCCAGGAGACTGCCCCCCCCCTGCCCGTGGGGCTCTGGGGAGAGAGGGAGGCCAGGCCGGGAGCTGGAAGCCATGGGCCTGAAGCCGGCTCTCCCGTTGTGTGTTGCAGATGCTGCCGGCCAGCCACCGCCCGGCTCCTTCCTGAAGGATCTCCTCCACAGCCGCCTGGGTCAGCTGGGCAGCCGGCAGGGCTCCTGCGAGCCCGAGAGCGACTCCTCCCAGACCATCTCCCCGGAGACCTTGTGCTCCAGCTTGTGCAGCCTGGAGGACAGCCTGCTGCTCAAGGAGCTGGGCTCGCCCGGCGACCTGGCCGCCAAGCTGCTGGGCTCCATGGCCGGCGAGGGCGAGTTGCTCCTCTCCAAGCTGCCCCCTCAGACTGGAGAAAGTGCCTTCCGGAGCCTGGGCCAGCTGGAGTGCCAGGACTCCATGTACTCCATGTCCTACACGGAGTCCTGCCTCTCGCCCACGGAGGACGACAGCCTGGCCAGCAAGGACTACCACACGGCGTGCAAGCTGCCCGAGGACAGCTGCGAGGTCCGGCGGAAAGTCTCCGACGTGGCCTCCTCGGGGGTGGTGTCGCTGGATGAGGAGGAGGAGGAGGAGGAGGAGGAGGCTGAAGAGCAGTGAACTGGTCTTGGTCTGTGGCATGCTTCACCTGCCATCTCTGTCCCACTCTGTGACACCCCCCTTGGGCCCCATTCCCAGAACCACCTGTTCTCCTGGAGGGCGAGTCCTGTCTGGGGATGGCGTGAGCCTTAGCTGGGCAGGGGAGGATGGTGGAAGGAAAACCCAGCACCCCCGCTGGCGGAGATCTCTGACGCCCGAGGCCCCCGGCCTGGCGGCCAGGTGGATTTGCTTGCTGCGTCTCTCTCTCTCTCTCTCTCTCCCCTCATCTGTTTTTTTGCATGAGACTGTTTTGGGGCTAACAACCCTCCCCCACCGGATGCAGAGCCGGCTGAACCTGACGCCCGCTGGGACGGTTCTGAGCACGTTCTGCACCCTGCCTCCGAACCCCTGCGGAGCCTTTTGCTGTCCGGGTGGCATGGCTAGTGCTGTGAAAGCAACACGTGTGTGTTCCCAGTGATGATGAAACCCTGCGCCCTGGCCCCGGCGTGGACTGTGCTGGGTTGTTCTGCACGCCTCTTGGGATGCTGCTGTTCCAGCCGTCGGCACAAACCAGCCCTTTGCTTTTCTGGTCCTGGGTTTTGTATCGGGAGCCGGGCCAGGGCAGAGCAGGTCTGTGACAGGAATCGCCGTTTCTGCTGCGACTTCCCCCAGAGGCGGCGTGGGGAGGCGAGGGGGCCTGATCCAAGTGGGGGCAGCATGAGAGCAGATTTTTTCTATATTTTTGTATGTTGTCTCTGTGCAGCCCTCGCCAGCAGCCTTGGGGGCACTCCGGGTGGCATGGTGCGGGGCGGGGCGGGTGCCACCCCCATCTGGCATTAACGTAACGCCGTTTCTGCTGCGACTTCCCCCAGAGGCGGCGTGGGGAGGCGAGGGGGCCTGATCCAAGTGGGGGCAGCATGAGAGCAGATTTTTTCTATATTTTTGTATGTTGTCTCTGTGCAGCCCTCGCCAGCAGCCTTGGGGGCACTCCGGGTGGCATGGTGCGGGGCGGGGCGGGTGCCACCCCCATCTGGCATTAACGTAACCGGTGGGACATCTTGGCTTTAAGGGCTCCAGTGCGTTACCCATCTCAGAGCGCCGCCGTGTGGGGCTGGGCAGAGGGGCGGGCCCACGTTCTCCTTGCTGGAGTGCTGGATGCTTTGTGCACGTGCCGACACGGGCATGGTCGTGCACTGCACACGCAGACGCACGGACGCTCACAGACCTCCCTCGTGTGTGCAAGCGCACAGCCCCTCCACCCCCATTCAGCTGGGGGCCGGATCCAAATGGGGTGTTTTCTGGTTCAGACGTGGCTGAAACCTCATGGGATTTCAGGCGGAACCTCACCTCCCCCCCGCAGAGCTGCGAACCTCATCCGCACCCCCACCCAGATCCAACCCTGCAGGCCTGCCTGTGCAGACCTGGGCACACGTGTGCATGCCGCGCCAGGCCAGTGGGAACCAACCCTCAGGTCCCACAAGCTGAGATAGGAGCCCCCTCCCCTTTGGCAAAGGGGGGGCTCCCGGCTGCAGCTTTCCCTCTCATGTTGTGGGGGTGCAGCCCGGTGGAAATGCAGGGGCCCGGTGGGGCTGGGCCAGGAGGGGATCTCAGCCCCGCCCTGCAGGTTGTCCCATGCTCTCCTGCCTGGGGGGCCCCATTGCATGTGCTGCCCCACATGAGACCATAGCGCGCCGCCAGCCCCAGGGGTTCCAGACGGCTGGGGGCTGGGCAGTGCTGGGTGTGCAGACTTAAGTCACGGTCACGTCTGTGTCACGCGTGACCCTGGCAGACCTTGGGCACGTGCCCTCAGCCTGGGGTGAAAGGGCAAAGCGGGGGGGGAGGGGGAATCACCCCGCCCTCAAATCCTTGTTCACGGTTAAAGGATCCTGCAGCTTTCAGGGCCCCGTGCTCACGGGAGCTGGCCGGGAAGGGAGGGCAGCGTCCCTGGGCTTGTGTGGGTGAGTGACGGGTCTGGACTGCTGCCCGCTGGAGAGAGACGGCCTGGGCCCTGCATTGCTCCAGGCAGCCATGGCCAGGGAGAGGGAAGGGCCACAAGCAAGGGGGCTCCTTGGGCACCTGGGAGAGGCACAGCTCTGGGGTCCCCTCCCTGTGCGACAGATGGTCAAGCCAAGGCCAGAGGGAACCTCCAGCCCCTGTGGCCTGCCTGGGCTACCCTCGGCCCTGGGGTGTAGGACCTGGCAACTCCTTCCAGCCCCTGCTCTGTCTCCCCCAAGCTCCCACTGGCTTTTTTCCCCCCAAAAACCT